CCCCAAAACCCCAAAACCCCAAAACCCCAAAACCCCGAGATAGTTTTGGGGGGTTGAAATAAGGAGAATTCTGAATAGTTGATCTGTATCTTGGATTTTCTAGGTATTTGGTTAGTTAGAAATACAAAAGAGCAAAGCTTACCTTTAGTCTTAGGCTCTAACTCAGGGAGCTCATCTATCTTTGCGCTTATTAAGAATTTCATCAAAGAATCACCGAATTTATTCTCTTTCACTATTGCTGATGGATTATGAGCTGGGGACCCTAAAATGTTTGAAAGATATGATTATTACCTTCTGTTGGATTAGGCTGCTCTTTTGATAAAAACTCTTCATGAGTTATAATTCAATCTTCTTCCTTCTTACTCACTTTACCAAGTTGGGTTGCTATAATCAATCAACACCTAGCCTATTAGAACTATCCAGGGATTAGTCAAATTTTGATCTATAACTTTTCTCCAGTTAAACTCATGAATTTTTCACACACAAAATTCGATCTATCAAAAGTAGTTCTTACTCATAACGGCTTGTGGCTCCTTTGGCTTATCTATAGCAGATATTTCCCACTAAGTTTCATAAAACTCAAGAATCTTAAATACCTTTAAGTGCAGTGAGTAGGTTATTATTTCTCATTAAAAGTTGCTTTTGAGATGAGATTCCACTTCTTGTACCTCCGATCCTTATCCAGATGCTGTCCGTTCTATAAAATATGAGCAGTAAGAGCTTACCTCTTCTAAATCTCTTCGTGTAAAATCCATGTGCTTATCCAAAGACATTGAGTTGTTGTACGGAGTGATGAAATAATCAATCTATGGGTAAAATTAGAACTCATACTTTCTTTTGAACTTTTTGGTTAGGAAACAACCTATAATCAAGCACCTTCTTGATCGGATCTTCTGCAGGTCTCTTGAATAGCCTAAATTGCCTATAAAACAGGTCAGAGCTGGTAGAGATGAGGTTACTCAGAGTTCCGCTTAGTGGCATATTGAGCAAAAGTGTCATCAAAATCTCCTTTTCTTAATCCTATGGGTTATTTCTGAGCCTATCTTTGAACCTTTGAGGCTGAGGTGTTCCCCATTCTACATTTTTACTTCCTAAAGTACCAATGTGACTAGAGAGATTGGGCTAGCTTACTTCAAAAAGACCGCCTGTTCGATGGCTTCTTGACTTTTAGCAGCTGGTTTACCTTATCAGGCATTAGCAAAGTAACATCTTCCGTATGGAAATTATTTTGACTATAAAATTCATGAATGATCATGACTTCTGGTTGCATATTTAGACCAATGGGGAATTATTTTATTAAGACTGGGGTAACAAAGAAAATGCTCCTAACTTTTATAGGAATCACATTTATTTCACTACCTTTCCCAATTGTAGTCTTCTGATGTTTTGTTTGACTATCTTCCATTTAGTCTAAATTTTGTAAAATTATCTAAAATATGCTATTTTAATAATCCAATCCTTCCCAAAGAGGGGTTTTGGGGTTTTGGGGTTTTGGGG